TGATGATGATGACTGATGATGCCATGATGATGGTCATGGTGATGATGATGACTGATGATGCCATGATGATGGTCATGGTGATGATGATGACTGATAATGCCATAATGATGGTCATAATTGTGATCATGATGACGATGATAGTTGTAATGATTGTCTTACCATGCTGACTGAGGGATATTTTTAATTTCTATTCAAGCCTCCCAAACGTTTATCAACATTTAAAAGCACTGTCAGACGTCGTCGCTTTGAAAAAGAAGAAACGATACAAGAAGAAGATGAAGATGAAGAAAAACCATCCTACATGAACATAGAATTCCACAAGAAGATTGTAAAAACCACAACAAAAATCCCCTCCAATGACAACGATGAAGAAGCGGGTCCATCGTACATTAACTTGGACTTTCACAAAAAAGACAATACTAAGGCGAACAAGAAGAAGAAGAATGTCGTGCTCAAGGACGAGGAGAAAGAAAAAGGACCCTCGTACATTAACATGGAATTCCACAGAAAGAAAGACCAAGCGATGGCGCCACGTCAGCGAGTGAGAAGACGTCGAGATGAAGACGAAGACTTGGTGGAAATAGATTTTGACAAGATGAAAAAATTCAACAGTCAATCGAAAGAAACCTCTTCTAAAGCTGGTTTGGTGGAGAATGAGATTCCAAAAGACAATGGATCTGGAAATGAAGAGGGGAACAGCATGAAAGATGAGATGAAGAAAGTCGAGATGAAGAAAGTCGAGATGAAAGTGGAAAATAGTTTGGCAGATTCAGACTCCAACGAATATGAGTTTCCTCCATCCTTCTCCGAGAAGCCCCTAAATACAGAGGGGCTGGGACAAGTTCCAGAAAATGTGACTTTACAAGCAAAGTCTCAAAAAAAGCTCAAGTTTGACTTAAAAATCCATATACCTGAGCCCACGGATGAGACAGATATGACCAGCGGTAGTAACATTTATTTAGCAGTTGGCGATTACACCAAGGAATCGGACAGAGAAGTCAACTTACAAACAGGCACATCAGTAGAAGTACTAGAACAGTCCGAGGGAGGCTGGTGGCTAGTTCGGACTAAAAGTCTTACTATTGGCTGGGCTCCATCGAATTTTCTGGAGAAAATAAGCAAAGAGGAGTTGGAGAGGAGAAAGGAGCTTGGGCTCGAGTCTCCAACCAGATCCCCATTGCGGCCACCCAAATCCCCCAGGGTACACAGAATGGCAAAACATGTCTCTACTGAGCAGAAATTTTGGAACTTTATGCGTAAAAGTGACCAGAATAATGCGACATGTTCGATTGTCGATGAAAAAGAAGTTTGCCGTGTTGATGACAGCAGAGCACAGCAGCTGACAGTGATGGATGTTAATGGCAACAGACTGGGTGAATATCACGTGCATGAACCTAGCAAGCACATGAAGAAGAGTTACATCTGTGACTCAAACACCGGTGTGTGTAAACTTGAACAAAATGAAGACCGGCTGTAAGTTTTAAATAGAAGACTAGTCTATTATCAGGGGGGAGGCCGGACAGGTTTTTTCTATGATATCTATATTATGATACAAGATAGGATGTAAGCATTAGGTGTTCTGGTAGTATCATATGTTTTTTAATAAGAAAATTTGAGTTTTGATACTCATGTAGTTTTTAGTCTCAAGCATTTTTTTACAATGATTTTACAGATAAGCAAAAGATAGGTAGAAAACTTTATTTTTGCTGTAAACAAACGCTTTCTAAAGTCTTAATTATTGACTTGCTTTTTATACAGTTTATTCCTTGGTTCGATTTTAAGGAAAACAGTTTTGGACTTTCCCGCACAGAATCGTGGGGCTGAAAACTAAAAATGTATGGTCCCCCCCTCCACAATTCCAGGGGGAGAGGGGGGGATTGTCAACAGTTTTCTTTGGAATTTGTTCCACGTCAAGCTCACTCTAAATACTATAATTATATGCACGGGATATCTTGTCGCCCTAAAGTATATAAAGTAGAAATTGTCCTCACACTTCGTGTAATTACATTTCGTTTTTTTATGCATTAACATCATGGAGGATAATAAAAAAATTGCCCTATATCTACCCCGGCCTTGTGTGAATATTTTACGAAAGCACCCAACAAACCTATACACAGTTTTCATTAAGCATAAAACATCATCGATAGACTAGATTTCTTTAAGATGAGTGTTTTCCGTTTGGACGTTAGTAGATTTGAGTGGTTGCAGTGCGTGCTCTTCGCCCTCCCCGGTATCAAGAGCAATTTCCTGAACAAATTTCCGATGAACGAATTCGGAAGCCAAGTACATAACGGTACCAAGGATGAGTATTATTAAAAGGATAATGAGCTTGACTCGAACACATAAATAGTTGGAGTAGGCATATGCGACCACAAAACCGAGTGATTCCCACAATCTGTAGTTAGAGAAGGCTGGTTCTTGGTTATCAGAAAAATAAACCCCGTACAAAGCTGAAAGATAAAACAGAGCCAATGAATGAATTAATATATTAGTCTGCAGTCAGTGAAGACAGCGTTATGCTTCGTGCTTAAATATGTAGCGATTTAAAAGGGGGTTTATGATTTACTGGTTGAGAGAAGTAAATACAATGACTGGAAAACTGGTGCTACATGTACTTCATCCCGCGCTGGTGTGTCATTGGTTGAACGTTGAATGCTAGTGTACCGTGACTGTGTCGTGGTTGGTTTTTAAGTACATCTTTTCAATAGCTCGTTGAACTGTGATCATTTTAGTGCATGATGAGGCAAGGCATTTCTAAGGAGCTATTGCGCATGCGCAAACGAAATGTTCCGCTGTGCCATATCAAAACTACTCACCGTTAATCTGTGTCTGCCAAACTGCGTCACAGTATCCCTGTAAAGCAGCCATTACATAGAATACCCAGACCAGATCTGCTCGAGGACTCCACGCCAACATCAGGATGATGACTGTCAGATGGACTATCATTCCACTCATGAAGATGGCGACTCTCCCGGTGTACTGGGTAAGTCTTCCCAACAGAAAGGAGAAAAGTGCGTCTGTTACGCCAAAACAGATCATGATGAAGCCAACCTTGTGAATACCCAAAGAACACGTTATAAAAGCCTGAAAAAAAGCAAGGTATGTGATTAGTTTGGTAGTAAAAGAATTATCATCAGACTAGAAACTGAGAGAAGAGAGGAGAGGGAAGAAATAATACTGATAAGCTACTGTGCGCAGGTACTTTGCGCATGGGTGCAAGAAAATTAGTGACGTCGGATGGGGTTTGAGAGGAATAGAGTGCAATGCTCCTAATTGAAATGCTGCCTTGGAAAAATTTACTGACAAGAGCTAGTCTTACTCCACTTGCTTTCCCAGTATTTTCTTTTTATATTATTATGTTTTCTGTTTAATTGTTGATGGAGCTACTGACTGTCTACCCCGCTAAACATTGCTATGCCCAGTTCCCGTAGAACAAATACGCTTGACCCATCCCAAATACTTGATAGACAATACATTACTAACATTTGATAGACAAGTCAAAAAGCGTTATCTTACCTTTGTAAAGTCGCCAAATATAAAAGCCTGTTCCATGCCACTAAAGAAGGTGATTGGCAGAACCAGTTGCATTCGACGATCTTTCAGGTGATTCAAGGTAGCAAAAAGCAACTTCAGACCTGATACCTCATCTTTCTTGCGTGACAGGTGACCAGAAAGACGATCAAGAAGCACAATGACCAGCAAGATAGCCAACACTCCGCTCCCAAGGTAGATACTGACCAGCTTCAACACTAAGCTGTATTCTGGTTTCTCTAGTGTATCAAAACTTATAGATCCGTTCGTCAAGTTTTGTTTGGGTGGGCTTTTACAGAAGTGAACACCACACACCTCCCCTGCGTCTTCTCTAAAGAAGCTAGATCCACCTTTGTCGAGCACCAGTGACGAGATAAGATTACCCCAAATCTGTCCACTTTGAAACACAAGAAAAAAGATGCCAAAAAACCGTGTCACTACTGAATCTTTGTCCTCAGAGCCGAGCTCGGAGTAGCGTATACCAGTGGTTGTCAGGTAAGCACATTTAGATGACCACAGGGGCGCGGCTGACGCTCCTACGAGAAAAATATAATCGTCTATCAATAATTGGGCTTCCTGTGGAAAACATGAAACCACAGGAGCATCAAAAACTTTGGTGGCATGTAGCATATGAAAATTTAACGTTTGTTTTAAAAAATTAATTTGGCATGCATTTGAACTAAAGGCCGGATATTAAGTTTTTTTTCCACCCCGTTTCATTAAGATACAAAGCGGTAAGAGATCTTGTAAAAGGTTTTTCACAGTAACAGATATCGAGTCAAATTGCTGGGGTCTTGATTGATCTGTGAGGACAGCGGAAGCTAAGCTTGATGTGCGCGACGGCCAAACATACAAGGCACCGACAAAAGACCCAAAAAATTAAAATATATTTGACCAACAGCGATGAGTAATGAGCAGAAACATTGACTCAAACCATTGAAGTGTGAAGTGAAAAGAATATTGCAGATATATCTGTAAACTTTAGTAATCCGGAGGTTCAAAATGACAAATAGACCATATAGGGCAAAGTATAGATTGTAAAGGGATTTAGAGGCAAGAGAAAGCTATGAATGATGTGCCGACAGCAAGGAAGGGTAGACCGTGGGTGTGTAAGAGGTCTGTATGTAAACATTCACAAAAGGCACATGATATGAATGAATATCAAAACATCGCCCAGCAAAAAGGCCATCATATGGAAAAAACACTGAAACACTACCTTGACATATCCAAACCTAACTATATGAAAACATGCACTTCCTAGACACAGGAAATGAAAAGGTTTTGCTTTTGACTGAAGTGAGTAAACGAACGAGGATTATGTTCAGCGACGCGTGGCACTTGCCGCGTGTTTTGTCTTTGCTGTTAACACGCTGTTTAGATCCCAGCTTTATATATTATTTTCTTATAATATTAGTATAAATAATTTGTTACGTACCTAGAAGTATAGAAGCCGGAATGAGGGTCCACCATCGAGCATAGTAATTAGCTACGGTATATAAAACATAACTGATCATTGAGATAACTAGAGTCCACTTGCAGCCTAGTCTTCCTATCATGAATGGAGGAACAAACATGCAAGATAGAATCAAAGCAGCGTATATAACACTAAGGGAAGCTAAACCAAGACCTTGATCAGGATTCAAGCTGCTCTGCAGGTTCTGTAAAGACTGAAAGGCAGTGAACAGAAACAGAAATCCAAAGCTAATGATTATTATGTTCTTGAAGATTTTGAATCTCTCTTTCTTGCACTCTTCGGGGGAAAGAGCGGTCGAAGGCTCCGTAATTTCATCTGCTAGGTCCACATCTTCTAAATCACTAGACCTCATTGTATCGCTCTCCACGTCACCGGCCGGTTTCTTCTCCATCTTGTCCTCTTGACTGTCCTTTTTCTGTTCGTCTGGTTTGTTTTCATTGTTTTTCTGCAGCTTCGCTTCATCATTTTCGTCCGCCATGACCAGCGCCTAGGCTCCCTTCAATGGCAAAAATTGAACAAACTGTAAGCAACACGACTTCAGACAACAGTGATTTAATGAAGAGAGCTCGAGTTGTATACATACAAATAGCTTTCGTCGTCTGTCGCGTTTGTTAGCAAGAGTTCTCGGGTAGCGTGTTATTTACTTAGACAGAGCTTAGTTATCCTGTCTTATGAATATGTATGATAACCTTATCAAAACCAATTATAGCAATAATCATTAACATAAATCATATGCGATCATTGTTAGCGTAAATGAAGATGGTCCTCTCAATATGGTCAATAATATAAACTATACACCACCTGATTCAAATATGTTCTAACTGTACAGAGTTTGTCACTAAATCAATAAAGTATTCTGAAAAAGTTTTGAAGTAAATCGTCTGAATTGGTGACCATTCAAGTATGTATTTGTTTTAAGAATCTTGCAATAAGATTCCAAATTGCCAGAACAAAGTTTTTAGTTTATTTTGATCGTTTACTTAGTAGAATCATTGTGAAAAAATCAAAACGAGAATGCAGTATGTAATTTTCTTGGTTGCAACGACCAAAAAAAAAAAAAACGACCAAACACTGGAAAGCAAAAGACGAAATGAATGAATTAAAACCCGAAAAGATGAAATGAATTAGGAGTTGTAGAAAGATAACGAGACGAGAAAAGAATAACGCTGAAACAAATGATTATAATTGAATGAAGAGCGTGTATGAATGGCCGGGAATGAAAGGAACAGTTAACAGCAATAAAAGTTTGTTAAGAGGTCCACATGATGTGGTACTGCCTGCTGACAAACAACACTGAGGCAAGAAGACCTTGCGCAAGCCAAGTCATTGAACACTAATATGCTATTTAACAAGAAATGAAAGCTAAGAAGATCCGGTAGTACACGAGTGGAAAGGAGTGGAATACTCATAATATCCTACTAAGACTTTGAAATGGCTTCCAATCTAAACCAATCGAAAAGCCACAAAAAAGCCCACCAATTAAATTGCTTGAATTCAGAAGTCATTTAATAATCACTGTGTCATACGTTTTCCACGTTTGCGGAATCTGGTGCGTCGTTGGAAACAAGTATGGCTTAATCTTGCAAACGAACCCAATAACAACACCGGTGTGAGATTCCCAGCAGTAACCATAACCCGCTCTGCCTGATAAAAGAGGCAGTGATTAAAGATGACGCATAAGATACGGTTTTAGCCTATCCAATTGGGAATGATCAAAGAACATGGAATCTTTAGGTAGAGGAAAGACGAACAAACAGGTTTTGAAAGCTCTTTCTGGAGAGCAAAACTGACACTCTTCAGAAACAGGTAAAGGGGTTCCTTACTGGCGGATGAAACCAGAACCAGTGAACCTTGGCAACAAGAGAAAAGAAGATAATAGGATGTACTAATGAAATGATAATAAAAACGAAAAACACGAGTGTTGCATGTAATCAGACGTGATGATTATTTTGCCTGTAGGTGGCCAATAGCTATTTATTCAAATCACGGCAGCCCTTCTTTTGCGGTTTTTGACTGGCTAGCCATTTCTAATATGTGTCCCTGTTTTTAACTTCTCAGAAATGTGTTGCCATCAAAGAATCAATGCATTTACAGTGAGGACCTCGAGCTGCGAACACTTACTCTTTTCTTTAACTTTCTACTGCCTCAAACCCTCTAGCTAAATAAAGTATTGAGTTCAAATACATCGAGTGATCAAAATGGATATTATTTCCAGTCGATTGTATGAATTTTAAAGTTTACGGTTCGATTGCCGCTACTGTAACCTTCTTAGCCTTGTTCACTATTTGATTACGGTTCATTCAATATGAGACAATGAGTAACTTATTAACGAGGGCAGCCCTCGAACACTGCTCTTCATCAAACCAACCACTTCGATCTTTTTAAGACTTGACACATTATGAATAAATGATTCATAACCTTATATTTTCATATGTAATGTGTAATTGTGTAACTCGAGTTCGTTTGTATCAGTAATGAAAAGCCTGAACGATGGGATTGTGGGCAATGGTTTTGTATGCCTGGGTCCATTACCGAGGCAGATCGTACTACACTACATAAAAAACTCAATATGCAAGTAGTTTATGACTCTAGTAAAACTATCCTTCTTCTTCAAATGAATTGAAGACAAAGAACCTGAAATTGCTTAGACTCAAAGCAAAGACTAAACAATATACCGACATCCCTAAAAGCAAGTCAGATGATACTGACTTATGGCTGCAAATTGTCGATGTACAAACGCAGCACTCATGAGTTCCAACACATGTACAATTTAAAGCTTTTTCTTACATACCTTAGACAGAGTTTCAGTGTATAGAAAGGTCTAAATACTAGTAATCATTGCAGAGCGTATTACTCAGCTTTCCATGTTGTTAATATTGAACCAGGTTAATATATATACTAGTAAAGAGAGAGAGAGAGAGCTAGATAGAGTCACGCACTGTTTTTTATGTAGTGTATGTAAAGTACACAAAAGATTGCGTGAGGTTAAGTGATCATTGACAAATTACACAACACTGTCTTTGTGCCTTTCTACACCACTTCATTATCAATTGAATATTGTAGTTTTTTGTCTAAATTTCGGCTTTTTGTATTAGTTGATGCATCTTTTTTTCGTTTTTATCGGAGTAAATTTGTGGCGAAGAAATCCGACTTCTCACAAAAACAGAGTGGTTCTCACAAAACTTTAACAACTAATGTACAACAACGCGAAAACATGTCAACGACAACAACTGAACAATGAACAACTACAAATACAACATTTATCTTCAGTAAAGGTGGGGATAAGTGCCGCCATCTTGCTTACCTTGCAACTCAAACTTTTTACTTCAGTTTTCTTGGATTTTTTATAGTTTTTTATAGTCAATTATCATGAACTTTGTTTCATGGAGCCAGAGTTATTATCCACAAATATTGGTTTTATTTCGAAGATATAAAAAATTCAGTGAATTTTTATCCGAAATTTCTCGCAAATTTTAATTCCAAGACGAAAATTGCGCGCGCATCTCTGATCTTCTATTTTATTGCGCAATCTTGGGCAGTTTTTTATTTATTTCCAGAATGGTTTTTAAAATCTTTCCATGACCAAAACGGCGTGTTTTATTTTAAAACCAACAATTTTTATCTTTCTAAAAAATTGAAAAACGAGATAGTGGAATTTAATAGTTTTCATTTGATTGATAGCAGGTGGGAAGAATAAAACACCAGGACAAAAACCATCCCTACTCCTACCCAGTAATATCTTTTTCTTCTACTAAATATCGCCTCATTCTTCTCCTACAAATAAATTCTAAATCACTCAGATTATTTTAAAATATATCTTAGGTACTTTGAGCACGAATTATTTAATTTTCTTGAAGTATTTCTGACGATTAGTTTTGACAAAACCTTTCTACCCCTCCTTCATAGGGAATAATTGTCCAGGTGACAAACCCCACCCCCTCCCCAGTGGTATTTAACCGCTGACATTTCTTTTTGACAGATCAAAGGTTTCTTGGCTGGATTCAAGTTAAATGATGCTCATCCTCCTCGATCTCTAACCCTTTTTGAACATTTCCCCCTTGAAATAGGTCAGTTAAACCATCGTAAACTTTAGTTCAATCTAAAGGCAAAGGTTTTCAGCCAAAATGATTGAAAATCTAGACGATCTGGATGAAAATCAAAAGGAAACCCTAAAGAAGGTGAGTCAAGCCAGACCTCGGTCGATAAAAGGATTTTTTATTTTGGTTATTCTTATATTAAATTCGCTGACTTTTTTGTGAGATTAGGTGAAATCATAAACAATATCCAAACCATACATTCTAATAGTATTTTCCACAATCTTTTGCTTTTGGCTTCAAGCAATTCAATAAAATATTTTTTCTTGCCTCTTGCAATGGGCGAGGTTGGAAGAGTTCATAAAAAACTTATTATTGAAACTTAATTTTAAGATCTATTCAAGACTATTGAGACTATCACTTCTCATAAGCTACATGTCAACAGCTAATTCCTTAGGAATCTTAGTGTGGAAAGCTTGTTTTTAAGGTGGAAATTGTTATACCAAATTTTATAGAAATGTGAGTTGTGAAAAGAATAATGAAAAGTTGGTAAAAATATTCGATTCAAACTTTCTTCTAGATTCATATGCAAAAAGATTATTATGTAGAAAAAAGATAGAATCAAGACAACGTACTGAAATATTCATGACCCTGTCTTCTTTTTAATAATAAAAAAATGTTGGAGCCTGTGATTGGCTGTTTTGCTTACTAGCTAGTGCAGGTGCGCAAAATAGCCTTGTGGTATTTCGTCATCCATTTGCTTTGTCATTTTAGGATGCCAGCTCATTTAGCAGTTTATTGGTTGTGTGCGCTGATTTGATTGTAAACCTTTATGGTGCCCACTATTTATCGCTTTAAAATTTTTTAACATTTTTGTTCGATAATTTTACTATTTTCTATACTCATGCATACAAAGGCCATTTTAAGGATACAGTTTGTCTTGAAACTTTATTTTGTCAAATGTTTACTGTATAAAAATGGAGTATTTTCTTGCATGGTCATAAATTATTAATGTATATTATTAACTTATTAAGCATAGTTAGTATGCCATAATAATATAGTGATCTTCAATTGGTTGGTTATATTTCTGACTTATTCTCCTAGACTATTAGCACTGTATCCAATAATCTTTAGGTTTTGCAAAAAAGCAATGTGTCTTGTCTTATGAAATACTTGAGTTCTTAAGAGAAGGCTTAATAATTAATCTACTCTTTTTGTGAGACTTAATTTCTTAAATCTATAGCCAGGGTATTTTTTGATATCAATTCCACAGCGTATCCTATAAATATTTTTCATCATAATTAATATAGAGTTTCTTGTTCTAAATCTAGTTTCGGGAACAAGTTCAAAGTAGTCTCAAAGATGATCAGGATGATTATTTCCTGCTAAAATGGCTTCAAGGTATTAAAATATTATTGTTAATCTGGGGAGTGAATTCTCTGCTTAACCTTTTTCTACAAACTTAACAAGCTAAGTTATTCCAATTTGACCTGGGAGTTTAGCTTAGCCCTGACTTATATCAAATCAGCCAAGAGGTAGTTTCAGGATTCAATCTTTTAGAAAGCTGTTCCCTTACTTTGATCATCCTAGAGGTTGTTTCAGGGTTTGATCTGTGAGTTAGCCATGCCCTGACTTAGATCAGCCCAGAGGTTGTTTCAGGGTTTGATCTGTGAGTTAGCCGTGCTCTAGCTTAGATCGGTCCTGAGGTTGTTTTTTGGGGCATCAATGAAATTTGAAGGTTTGAAGAATTTGTACTAATAGTGGCATAGTACCATATTAATTTCTAGAATAATGTACACTAAATGATCATTTCTTTTTCTTGCTGGAGGCCAGGCATGAGCCATTTTATTGGCAGGCTATTATTTCCTTAATCTATATTTTCTTTCCTTCTTTTCTTATAATATTCTTTTCTTTTATGTAGCAACTGACTTTGATGCTGAGAAGGCAGATGACATGTTTAGGCAGGTAAAAGGACTGATTCATATCAGCCGGAAGCACATACAATAGTATACCTGTTTCTTTAATTGAGGTCAAAATAGGGGTCATAAACAGACTTCTCAACACTCATTGACTATAACAGTTATAGTTACTATTGCTGTTTCATGCTATAAGCGGTAACTATGTGATAATAGACCTTTCAGGTTGCATGTAACATTTTGGGCAAATCACAAGCTGTCACTTGAAGAATAAGATTCTCAAGCATTACTTGTAGAAAAAGAAGTAATTCTCAAGATACTGTAAAGAAATGTGGTCTTAAAATGGGTAAATGTTAGGCCTGAAAAGAAAACCAATACTGATACAGTGTGTTTTTAGAGTCTTTGGGTGAGAAAAAAGCTTGATCTGGATTCTGTTCTTACTCCATCCTATAAACCACCAGAGGTAAGAGAATCCTGCTATGTCATGTCCAATTATCAGTCATCATCATCATCCATCACCACCTTTATAACCATCTTCTTTATCATCATCATGATCATCACAATCACAATCATCATCACCATCACAATCATCACAATCATCATCAATCATCATCACCATCATGTATCATCATTAGAAGCATCACCATCATGTATCATCATTAGAAGCATCACCATCATGTATCATCATCACCATCATCACCATCATCATGTATATCATTAGCAGCATCACCATCATGTATCATCATTAGAAGCATCATTATTATATTTATCATCACTACTATCATCTTCATTAGCAGCTGCATCATCTCCATCACCCAGGACTTAAAATAATGGCTGGTGATCGGACAATGTCTGCATGATAAAAATAAAAACTTTTGGGTCAAATTGTTACTTTGCTGGTTATTTTGTCCATTAAGGTTGAGCCAGAAATGAGGTATGATAGAGCTGAATGTATTTGGCCTGTAATCATGACTGGTGACTGTCTGGCCATTATTGAAGGCCCTGATCATCACCAATACAGTCTATCATTACCATCTTCATCATGAATCATTATCATCTTCATCATGAATCATTATCATCTTCATCATGAATCATCATCTTCATCATGAATCATTATCATCTTCATCATGAATCATTATCATCTTCATCATGAATCATTATCATCTTCATCATGAATCNATGAATCATTATCATCTTCATCATGAATCATTATCATCTTCATCATGAATCATTATCATCTTCATCATGAATCATTATCATCTTCATCATGAATCTTTATCATCTTCATCATGAATCATTATCATCTTCGGCAGATGCATCATCACCAGTGCCATTATCATGATCAGCATTATCATCATCATCGTTATCATCATTATCATCACCATAATTATCATCATATGCATCATCTCCATCATCATCATCAACACCAACATTTTCAAAGCATCCAGCATCACCATCAATATCATCATCATCATCATCCTCATGACTTCAGTCTTTAGTCTTCTATTATTACTAAAGCTATGTGGTTCATATTTCATGGTGTTACCTAGAAACCAATCCTTTTAAACATTTCAACAACTTTTAGGTCCTCATGAAGTATGATCCAGGTGGTTTCTATGGTTACGACAAGGAAGGATCTCCAATATTTGTTGATCCACTTGGACAAATTGACTTTAAAGGTAGGTTACCCTCTCATTTAACCACTAGTTATCTAAGTTTTTCATTAGATACTATAAGTCTTGTAAACTGTTTTATGTTCATACTGTAGGCCTTCTTCATTCAGTCAAGAAAGATGATGTTCTGAGATTCAAAGGATATCATGCTGAGAAAGGATTGCAGCTTGCTAAAGAAAAGGCAAAAGAGGTAAATTATTCAGAATTAATGTAACTCTTAAAGTAACTATAACTCTAATTTGTCTGGAGGTGGAGAAGGTTGGGGGGGGGGGGGGGGGGGGGGGGGGGGGGGGGGGTGGTAGGGGCATCTGTTCCTGTGTCTAATATAAATTATTGTCCTATTAAATTCTACTTCAGACAGGAAAAAGAGTGCATCAAGTAGTAAACATCCTGGACATGGAGGGCCTGGGGCTTAAACACTTGTGGGGACCTGGTAAGGAGCATAGAATGATTTGTTTGCTTTCAATTTTGTTTGGGTTCCCTGTGTTGTTTTCTGACACTTCATTCTTTGATTTGTCTATTTTAAAGGTGTAGCACTCTTCAATAGTGTGAGTACTTTCTTGATTTTAAGATAAATGTCTATACATTTTCTGTGGTGTACAATGCAGTTTTTTTATTTTTCATTCCAGGTAGCAACACTTTATGAAAACAACTTTCCTGGTTACTGGAAAAGAATATTTGTAATTAAAGGTAAGTTATAAATTAATGTTTAAAACCCCCTGTTTGGCACATGCAACACAGACAAATTCAGATAAATAAAATGAATTGATTAACTTTGTTTATAGAGGAGTAAAACACTTGACAGTATTTCAACTGATAAACTTGTGGTCCTCTTTTAATGTCTCTAGTTGATTAGGGATGGGACCGCCATTAACGTACCTGGTCATCTGACCCATGTGAAGGTCTAACCATTTGCAGATATAATAACAAAGGCAGCACCTACTCTACAGTTATTTTAAGGCTTGAACCACGATATACCACACAAAAGACAGATGCTCTTACCAAGTAAACTGAGCTAACCAGGTGGCAATCTACTCCTGGGGTGGGAGGGGTATTGTTTGATTCACAGACTCATGGGAGGAGAGTTTGCTACATCTTTCCCTTGACTTGAGGGGTTTTTTCCCCGGGTTCTCAGGTTTCCTCCTTCTGCTGATTGCTTGTCATCTTCATCATTCTAATCAATGGCTCTTATTTCCATAATTTACTATCTATCAATATAAGCTCCTCTGATTTTCCCTGCGGCCTACAATTTGGTCAAGCCATTCCTGAGTGAAGACACCAAGAATAAAATCAAGATACTTGGAGGTGAGATATTATTAAGTCATTAATAATTGTACAAGTACCATAATGTCCATCACTAGTTTTTGCTGAGAAGCATTACATGCTGGTGCCCCTACCCTCTCATCAAGGGGGTTGACACATGGCTTAGGGCTGCTGTGGTCTTTAACGTCTTATTTGTGACAGAGTCAAAAGACACTATTTTGGACAGTAATTATTTAGTCATAAATCTATATTTTTAATTAGGAATGCCTCGTGTACACATAGGAATGTAATTCTTTAGTTAACTGTTTGCGTGGAAAATGCGTAAGCAAGAAATAATTTCCGTACGTAATTACATTACAG